ATTCTTCACCAATGCTGGTATGTACACCCCCAAGATGAAAATCTTTCAACGATGTTTTGCCCCCTTTCACATGAATCAGCTATTCAGACGTTGCAGGAAATAGGTTATTTTTAACCCCAAGTTCAAAATCTTTCAGTGAGGGTTTTTATCTTTTCCTTTAACACTAATCAACTGTTTCTAAAGATGCAGGAAACAGGCTATTTTATTAATGGGAAAAACGAAGGCACAGGGCACATCAGTTCAAGATAAGACAGAGATTTTTTAACTCTTAATCCATTAGGGCAATGATAAGACAACAGTTACTAGTAAGATGACTGAACAGTAGAACAGTCTAGGATAGGGAATTGCTAAAAGTGACTGCCTGTACCTGTTCTCTTCACTTAGTAGTGCTGCTAATCTCTCATGTACCTATGTACTGGAAACTTCAACAATCTTTGTTGATTCATTTTTTATAAGATTTTTTATAACCACGCTATCCATTTCTCCCTTACCTCAAATAATATAAAACTCTTATTCTGTACTTATCATCATTGGCGGTGCTAAAGTTCACTATCAATATTAGTTACAGCCTTTAGGTTTTATTTCTCAAGTTAAATTTATATTAGTGGCAGACAGCTGCAAAAAAAAACCTGGCAATAAATTTGGTGTGGGGGGAGTAACATTTACATACATTGCATTCACAAAAAAGGATATGTTTTTTTGTGTGTATCTTAATACATAGCATTTAAGGAATTAATGTTACATCCTAGAAATAATTTCCAACTTTGCAGAAGACAAAGGGGGAAAGCAGGCTATGCAAACCAGTGCCAGTGATATTTTACTCTTTCATAACTAAAAATGTGGAAATTAAGAAAATAAAAATAAAGAGAAAATGTGAAGGGCTCTTACTTTTCTCTCACACAAGGTTCTGGTATGAAGTAAAGCCAACTGCCCATAGAGTTAGATACTTGCTTAATAAGAGTAGATAGGCAGGGGCCAGGTGTGGTGGCTCACGCCTGTAATCCCAGCACTTTGGGAGGCCAAGGTGGGTGGATCACCTGAGGTCAGGAGTTCAAGACCAGCCTGGCCAACATGGTGAAACCCGTCTCTACTAAATATACAAAAATTAGCCAGGCGTGGTGGTGCATGCCTGTAGTCCCAGCTACTTGCGAGGCTGAGGCGGAAGAATCGCTTAAACCTGGGAGGTGGAAGTTGCAGTGAGCCAATATCATGTCACTGCATTCCAGCCTGGGCAACAGAGTGAGACTCTGTCTCAAAAGAAAACAGTAGGTAGGCAGGATTGAATTCCTCAGAGGTTTAGACTCATTCTTCAAACTGCACATACCTGACAGTAACATGTATAGTACCTTCTATAATTAAAAATATTGCTTATTAAATAGTTGCTTGCAATTAAATTGTTATAAGTAGCTCTTCTCCGATAAAACACCAAATGGCGGATGACTCCGGTGCGCCTGGAGGCCCCGGGGGCCCTGGGATGGGGAACTGCGGTGGCTTCCGCGGAGGTTTCGGCAGTGGTATCCGGTGCCGGGGACGCGGCCGCGGAGCTCGCGGAGGCAAAGCCGAGAATAAGGAGTGGATGCCTGTCACCAAGTTGGGCCGCCTGGTCAAAGACATGAAGATTAAATCTCTGGAGGAGATCTATCTCTTCTCTCTGCCCATCAAGGAATCTGAAATCATTGACTTTTTCCTGGGGGCCTCTCTCAAGGATGAGGTTTTGAAGATTATGCCGGTGCAGAAGCAGACCCGTGCTGGCCAGCGCACCAGGTTCAAGGCGTTTGTTGCTATTGGGGACTACAATGGTCACGTTGGTCTGGGTGTTAAGTGTTCCAAGGAGGTGGCCACTGCCATCCGTGGAGCCATCATCCTGGCCAAGCTCTCCATTGTCCCCGTGCGCAGAGGCTACTGGGGGAACAAGATCGGCAAGCCCCATACTGTCCCTTGCAAGGTGACAGGCCGCTGTGGCTCTCTGCTGGTGCGCCTCATCCCTGCGCCAAGGGGCACTGGCATTGTCTCAGCACCTGTGCCCAAGAAGCTGCTTATGATGACTGGTATCGATGACTGCTACACCTCAGCTAGGGGCTGCACTGCCACCTTGGGCAACTTCGCCAAGGCCACGTTTGATGCCATCTCTAAGACTTACAGCTACCTGACCCCCGATCTGTGGAAGGAGACTGTATTCACCAAGTCTCCCTATCAGGAATTCATGGACCACCTCGTCAAGACCCACACCAGAGTCTCTGTGCAGAGGACCCAAGCTCCAGCTGTGGCTACAACATAGGGTTTTTATACAAGAAAAATAAAGTGAATTAACATTGCAAAATAAATAAATAAATAAATTGTTATAAGTAATATAATATGTAATTAAATAACTATAATATGTATCATTTAACACTTCTGAAGATTAAAACTGTTTTGAAATGATTATGTTAGAGAAACACAAATTAAGCTACAATGAGATATTTCTCAGTTATCAAGTTAGCAAAAACATAAAAGTTTAACAAATATTCTGCTGGTGAAACTGTGAGGAAACAGACCTGTAATTTCACAGTTAAATTGCAAAGTGGTACAATCCCTGTGATGAGCAATTTAACAATGCCAAACAAAATTACAAATGGATTTACCCTTTAACCTACCTGCCAATCTCACTTTGAGGCATTCAGCATACCAATATGCCTATGCATGTATAAAACAAGGTAAGTTCAAGGTAATCACTGCAGCACCATTTGGGACAGCAAAGGATTAAAAACCCTTCAAGTGTCTGACAACAGGAGACTGAGCAAATAAACAATAATGCAGTTCACTCATGGAATACTATATAGCTGCAAACAAAGAATGAGAACACTCACTCTTTTGATATGCAAAGTTCTCCAGAAGATATTTATGTAAGAGAACATATACAGTATGTGACTTTAAAAGTAAGAAATGAGAGGCAAATAAGACTATTTATTCACAATTGTACTTGCATTTGAATAAAGAAATACTAAAATACATAAGAAACTAATAAGAATGTTATCTACAAGGAACTGGGGGACAGGTGGATGAGGACAGGTGTGTAAGAGTGTGACTTTTCTGTGTATAACTTTTTACATGGTTTTGATTTATGAGCCATGTGAATATATTATGTATCCAGAAAAAATTAAGGCTGGGCATGGTGGCTCATGCCTGTAATCCCAGCACTTTGGGAGGGCAAGGCAGGTGGATCATCTGAGGTCAGAAGACCAGCCTGGGCAACATGGTGAAACCCCGTCTCTACCAAAATACAAAAATTAGCTGGGTGTGGTGGCAGGTGCCTGTAGTCCAAGCTACTCAGGAGGCTGAGGCAGGGGAATAGCTTGAACCTTGGAGGCGGAGGTTGCAGTGAGCTGAGATTGCACCACTTCACTCTAGCCTTCGTGATAGAGTGACACTTTTGTCTCCAAAAAAAAAAAAAAAAAAAAGAAAGAAAGAAAAAGAAAATATTAAATCTAATTTAAAAAAACAAAATGCTCATGTTATAATGTTAAAACCAAATACAAAATTATGTAGACACTACAATCACAAATATGTAAAAATATCATACACAGAAAAAGGAAAAGAAAATGTTCTAGAATGTTTACAGTAATTGTCTTTCGGTGGTGGCAGTACATATTTTTTCTTCCCTGAGTTTTCCAATTTAGTTATAAAATATAGATTTCTTCAAGAGGGTAAAAAATGCCTCATTCTTCCAAATGTTTCCATTCATAATGTGCTTTATTCAATAAGTGACATTCAGTTCCAAGTACCCTCACACTTAATATTCAGAATATAGTAAGAAAACAAATACTTACGAGGACAGCACTATGGCAACAGCATCATTGAGGACACTTTCACCAAAAAGAAGTGCATAGAGTTCAACATCAACTTGAAGCTCGTGGAATATAGCAAGAACAGTCACTAGCAAGGAAAAAGAGCCAGAGAAATACTTAGACATTACAAATATAACATATTCTCCTCAGTAGATGACTATAAGAATTATTTAGAAATTCATTTCTTCTTCCTGGAATTCAATCCTAATAAACATTCTTTTACCATATCAAAGACCCTATAATTTTATATAAACATTTTTTTTTCTAATTGTGTACCTGTACAAACTTCTCCTTTCTCTCTCTTAAAAATGGCTGAAAGTAACCTTGAAGAACTGAGTTGGCCTATATTCTTCATGCAAATGTTAATAATCACGTCTTGTACATTTTTTCCCCATAAAGAATATATTCAGAATTTCTTATAGACCAGGTAGTTATAAATCTTTAATGGAGAAGAATATTATGAAAAGAATCTAATGTTGCAAACTTCATTTGTTTCTCGGGGCCTTACAACTCACTTGTACTTGACTTACAAATTGCATGCACACAGGTTTAGCAAAGACAGTAGGAAAGGCAAGTTTCTTGTTTTTATGATTGTCATGATCTCGGCCCACTGCAACCTCCACCTCCTGGGCTAAGGCAGGAGGATCGCTTGAACCCAGGAGGCGGAGGTTGCAGTGGGCCGCGATCACGCCACTGCACTCCAGCCTGGCAACAGAGCAAGACTCCATCTTAAAGAAAAATAAAATTAAAAAAAAGAACAAATCCTCCTTTTAGGGAAGTAATTATATGAGAAAGCTTAGAAAATCAGATGAGATTGAAGTTACATTATAACTTTAATTACTAAATCACATAACTCACTAAATAAACCCAAGCAGACATGGAAGATTAATGTAACCAGAGGTGAGAGAACCTTTTCAAATGCCAATCATAAAAACAAGAAACTTGCATCTTAAATTTATTTAAAATTTTTTATTTTTTTAGAGATGGGGTTTTGCTTTGTGACTCAGGATGGAGTGGCACAATCACAGCTCACTGCAGCCTCTAACCCTAAGGTTCAAGTGATCCTCCTGCCTGAGCCTCCTGAGTCACTGGGATTAAAGACATGAGCCACCATGTCCAGCATATTTTAAAAGCTATAGTTTCTACTACAAAGCATTGCAGCTGGAATATACTGATACCAAAGCTCACCAAGAGAGGGGGAGAAGGAGCGTGGAGCAATAGCGTAGAATTTCGAAGACAGAACCCATAGCTCACCCTTGTAAGAGCAAGTTAACAATGGCAAAATAGCCGAAATGGGGCAAGTGCCTACAATAGTCCTACCAAACAAAACCAGAAAGTTGAAATAATGTAGCCAAGCCAATGGACTCAGATTTCTCATAGGATTTGAAAAGTTGAGAAGCTTGCTTATAATGAAAGGACACAGAAACCAGAGTCTACTGGCTCCTTGCAAAAACCATCCTATCTTCATGTTGATAATGGGAGTAGCTACAAACAATAAGAGGACAGCCTTGGTGGTCTTTAGGGAAGCAATTTAATTTCCAGTTTTAAAAATGCTAAACTACACAAATGTCGCTGTAAAATGGCCCTCTAACTAATCTTCTAAAATCTTTTTTTTTTTTTGAGACAGGGTCTCACACGTCACCCAGGCCGAGTGAGACTGCAGCCTTGCCGGGCGCGGTGGCTCAAGCCTGTAATCCCAGCACTTTGGGAGGCCGAGGCGGGTGGATCACGAGGTCAAGAGATCGAGACCATCCTGGTCAACATGGTGAAACCCCGTCTCTACTAAAAATACAAAACATTAGCTGGGCATGGTGGCGCGTGCCTGTAATCCCAGCTACTCAGGAGGTTGAGGCAGGAGAATTGCCTGAGCCCAGGAGGTGGAGGTTGCGGTGAGCCGAGATCGCGCCATTGCACTCCAGCCTGGGTAACAAGAGTGAAACTCCGTCTCAAAAAAAAGAAAGAGACTGCAGCCTCATTGCAGCTCACTGCAGCCTCAAACTCCTAGGTTCAAGTAGTCCTCCCACCTCAGCCTCCCAAGTAGCTAGGACTACAGGCACACATCCCCATGCTCAGCTAATTTTTTTTCTTTTCGTTTTTTTGTAGAGACAAGGTGTTGCTATGTTGCCTAGGCTGGTCCCAAACTCCTAGTCTCAAGTAATCCTACTGCCTCGGCCTCCCAAAGCACTGGTATTCATAGGCATGAGCCACTGTGCCCAGTCAAAATAATCTCTCGCAGAGTATTGAACAAATTTTTCTCCTTCCCATAAGGCCCTGTGTTATCAGAGTAACACAGGAATTCAGAAATAACCTTAGGATCCTATCTTTAATTGTGCTGGATGACAATTAAAGATGATTAACTTACAAGGTTAAAAGGTAAAACAACATCCTGGCCAACATGGTGAAACCCCATCTCTACTAAAAATACAAAAAAATTTAGCTGGGCATGGTGGCGCATGCCTGTAGTCCCAGCTACTCGGAAGGCTGAGGCAGGAGAATGGCTTGAACCCGGGAGGTAGAGGTTGCAGTGAGCTGAGATCATGGCACTGCACTCTAGCCTGGAGACAGAGCGAGACTCTGTCACAAAAAAAAAAAAAGTAAAACAAAACAAGCTTCAACGAAAGTCTTAAAGCATGCTGAAAGAAAACGTCCATCCTCCTCAAAAACATCAGTCTGTGTTCCTACCCCAACCTTTCCATTCCATATCTTCTCCAAATTCCTAACTTGAATGTAGCTGTTAAGTTTACCAATGCCGTACCGTATCAGGAAAACTAAAACTTAACTCAGTACAATTAAATTCATTCTGGAATACAACTTTTAGAATATCTGACACTAAAAGCACAGGGGAACAAGCTGTGTTAACATTAAACAGGCAACTGTATAATCATCATCAAGCCAATTTTATAAACACAGTTCTTTTGTATATTAAAGTTCTCCAATGACTCCAAATCATACCTGTATTAACACAACTGCCTTCTAACAATCTTTTTAAAACATTTTTTCTTACTGTTAAATGCACATAGGTGAACAGAAACAGAAAGACTTTTAGGGAACTGGTTTTCTAAAAGCTTGAAAGGAAATATGTAATTATTACCCATTTAACCTCATCTATAATCTAGTTCATATTCTTCTGTGCCCAATCACTAGGGATAAAGACCAACATGAATTTCTGAAGAAAATATCTTATAGTCCTTATTGAAACAGCATCAACTTGTAGATCAGTAATAGGCAAATGTAATTTAAAAGAGTAAAGAAAAAAAAAACAAATTTGTGCTGAAGCCAAAAGGAATCATGAATTTTATTTTTTCCTCCCCAGTTAGAAAGTATAGCACTAAGGAAGTACCTAATCATGAATTCTACACCTCAAAGAAAGAAAAACCCACATGTATTTGACTGCAAAACAATGTACTTCAAATACGTAAACTCCATTCACATAAAACATACCTGGATCAGTTGCTGATACAATGGCACCAAACAGAAGGCAATCTGTAAAGTAAAAATCTCCTGCCAGTTGTCCAGTTACCTTCATCAGTGTTACACAGCCATACATTATTGACCTGTTCAATGTTTTTTAGAAAAAAATCAACTGTTAAAAAAATTAGGATACAGTAAGAATAAGAAGATTGGTTTACTGTAGCACTTTGTGACTAATCCCAAATTTAATTCATGTCATTGAAATATGGTAATACCTTGGCCTTAAGGAAAATTCAAACAACTTATTACCTATGTGAATACTGCAAAAGTCTTTAGACCTCATCAAGAATATAACACTGCATAAATTAACAATATATTATTTTAAAATTATAATTTGAAGGCTACAAAGTATTTTTTTTTTCCTCTAAAGCTAAATTGTTGTAGGACCATTCCAAATGTGATTTATTTGTCCCCATGCCAATAGAAGTTTCCATGTAGGTGAAAACGAGTTACTGTAAAATGCAATTTGGATAAAAGGAGGATCTCTCGCCAAGGGCCCCAATGAGTGGCACACAGTCTACTATCACCGACAGGACTTAGCTATATGGCTACAGGAAGAGGAGTAAGGATGAAATCTCAGCATGACCCTCTCACCTCTGCTCCATCCCCATCCTCACACTATTCCTCTCAAGACTCATTCTTTTCAGAGGAGGGCTCTCCCAGGAAACTCCCCAGAGCCTCCGCCACCTTCCATCAGCCATACCCGAATCCTAGGGTGTAGTGCTAGAAGCATAGCACCGGAGGATCTCGTTCCTGCCTGGAGAAGTTCATCAAGTGAGAAGTCGTCGGCTACAAAGTATTTTAAGTTTCAAATACTTACCCAATAACGAAACAAGAAATTGCTGTTCCAAGAAAAGCGTATGCTAGGATAGACCCGAGATTTCGAAAGAAATGTCTCTGACAAAAAAAAAAAAGTTACACTGTGTTAGAATACTTACCAGTTATTAGAAAAAGAAAAGGTTTTCTATGCTATGCTAATATTAAATCCATTATTTGCAAGGATAAATAAGAGAAAGCATTCTTGTACAGGTGTAAATTTCAGCATCTAAAAAGAATAAGGAGAGGAGAAAGGAGGGGAATCTGGACAGAACAGCCCATTTCTGAAGTGTCAAATATTACAAAGCCCACCGAGTTTAAGGTTGTTCAAAGTATATGAAAGACAAAAGGACTTACCCTTTTTAGGCTATAACCTGCGTAAAATATGATAGGAGGAAGTAATATGTTGAAAAATACTTCTGGATCAAAAGTAACCTGTTAAAATAAAGCGTTATTTTAGATCAGTTCCCTAGAAGACTTCATATTCCATTACCAAATGATCAAAAAGAAAAAAACAATTAAACGTTAAATGACTCAAGGCAAGAACATCACTGTGTTAACTTAAAAATATTTCACATAGGATAGCTTCTGTTCTACTTCTCAACCAAACTACCAGGAGACAGCACTGGAACAATCAGTTAAGCCCTATCTGCAGAAAGTGTATTAAAATACTATGCTATTAAAAAAATGTTTTGGGAGGCTGAAGCAGGAGAATTGCTTGAACCCGGGAAGCAGAGGCTGCAGTGAGCCAAAATTTCGCCACTGCTCTCCAGCCTGGGCGACAGATTACAACTCCATCTCCAAGAGACAAAGAAATTAAAAATAGGGCCGGGCACAGTGACTCACTATAATCTGTAATCCCAGCACTTTGGGAGGCCAAGATGGGCAGATCACCTGATGTCAGGAGTTCAACAACAGCCTGACCAACATGGTGAAACTCCATCTCTACTAAAAATACAAAAATTAGCCGGGTGTGGTGGCACATCCCTATAATCCAAGCTACTCGGGAGGCTGAGGCAAGAGAATCACTTGAACTTCGGAGGCGGAGGTTGCAGTGAGCCAAGATCGCACCACTGCCCTCCAGCCTGGGTAACAGAGTGAGACTTCATCTCAAAAAAAAAATTTAAAAAGTAAGAGAAAGCATGAACATTATTTTTGCTTTAAATAAAAGAAACCCAGCTGGGTACAGTGGCTCATGCCTGTATGCCCAGCACTTTGGGAGGCTGAGGCAGGTGGATCAACTGAGGCCAGGAGTTCAAGATCAGCCTGACTGACATGGCGAACCCCTATCTCTACTAAAAATACAAAATTAGCCGGGCATGGTGGTGCATGCCTGTAATCTGCACTACCCAGGAGGCTGAGACAGGAGAATTGCTTGAATCTGGGGGGCAGAGGAGCTGAGATCACGCCACTGCACTGTTTCTGTACGACCCAGATTTCTACTTCTGACAGCCCACTCATTTTAAGACCTAGTCACCATAAAAATGCAAATGTCCCCTTCTGTTCATAAGGCTGCAGTAGAATGTGACATGAACACAAAGCAACTATACACATATCCATGCTAAAACTTCATTTACTAGAACTTTTAAGGAATTGGAATGTTCCACAGGTGGAAAGAACTCTTGCTGCAAGGTAAACCTCAAGTTCATATGAAATTTTAAAAGCATTAAAGATGGTCAGAAACACAATCAGGTAGCTAAAAAGTCAAGTCCTGCCTGTACTCCTAGCACTTCAGGAGGCTGGAGTGGGTGGTTCGCTTGAGCCCAGGAGTTTGAGACCAGGCTGGACAACATGGCGAAACCCCAACTCTACTAAAAATACAAAAATTAGCCACGTATAGTGGCACATGCCTGTAGTCCTAGCTACTCAGGAGGCTGAGGTTGGAGGGTCACCTGAGCCTGGGAGGTGGAGGTGGCAGGGAGCTGAGATTGTGCCACATAACTCCAGCCTGGGTGACAGAATAAAACCCTGATTTCAAAAAAAAAAAAAAAAAAAAGTCAAGTCCTGCCAATGCAGCAGACAGAAGTGAAGGCAAACAGTAAAGGGTAGAGAAAACAAAGAGACATGAGCGAAGTGGCACTGAGAAACGTCATGATAGAAACTATGAGGGAGACAGGAGAAAGCAGCTCCAGGGATGCCTGGGAGTCAGTACAATTGCAACTCAAACTTGAACATAAAGCTTTATGCACAGCATGGTACAATAACTCAGACTCACACTTAGGGCCGCTGAAGTTGTGCCAGATTGTGAATCAAAGAAATATTACATTGTGATCAGTATAGAATACAAGCAAGGCAAGAAAGAATTCAAAGAAATATTAATAGAGTATTTTAGGAATTATCAAATAAATTCAGTGTGCTAAAGTACTATAAAACTATCAGGACCTGCCGGGCGTGGTGGCTCACACCTGTAATCCCAACACTTTGGGAGGTCGAGACGGGGGGATCACTTGGGGTCAGGAGCTAGAGACCAGCCTGCCCAACATGGTGGAACCCGTCTCTACTAAAAAATACAAAAATTAGCCGGGAGTAGTGGTGGCAGCCTATAATCCAGCTACTCGGGAGGCTAAGGCAGGAGTACTGCTTGAACCCAGAAGGCAGAGGCTGCAATAAGTGAAGACGGCGCCACTGCACTCCAGCCTAGACGACAGAGTCAGACTTTGTCTCAGAAAAATAAATAAATAAAAATAAAACTGTAAGGACCATCTGCAAATGGAAAGAAACGCTTATAGATTCTGCTTAACTCAATCCCAGTCTCCATTTATCACAAGCTGTAAACAACCCAGAGTAAAACAAAAAGAGTCATACTACTTAGCCTCAATCAGAAAATGAGTCGCACAGGCATCTCCATTTCCTTACATATTACGTTTGTTAATTGAGGTTTTACCTCATTTTAAAAGACTCATTATTTTAAATATCATTTAAAATTCATTACTTATTTTCTCCTGAATCATTCTGCTGTTAGACACACACAAAAATAAATTAATTCAAAGATTTCCTTTAAGAACTTACCTTTCTAAGCATTTCATTATCTTGAACATTATTGAGTTCATGTGAACTAATCTCTCCTTTCAGCGTATACTCATAAAATTTTCCGCTAACATTTACCAGTAAGGTAGTTGGACTTGACTGCACTTCACAGCTCAGCGTAACATTATTTACATCACTTGGAACGTGAATGCCATACCGAAGCACAAGGCCCACCAAAAGACCTGGAATAAAAGAACAATGTAAGCTCTTCTTGCCAACAGAGATCATTTCTTTTGTATCCCATGCATAACTACGGGTAAGAGAAAATCTCTTATGGTAGATAGTTCCCTGTAGCTCAGAACTGGTTTTTAGATGAAATGCAGTTACATTTTAAAGTCTTACTAAATTCATACAACCAACAGCCCAATCTTCATATAATCCAGTGAAACAGGAGAGAAAAATATTCCCTAGGCAACAGCACAGATCCCTGCATTTCTAGATCAATATTTAAATAAGTAATGAGGGAGGTAACAAAAGGAGAAAATATCTTCAAATCATCTGTAGACAGAATATGCTCCAAGGTGTCCCAACTCGGCAGTGCAATCATGTCAGAAATCTGTTTTCTGGCCGGGAGCAGTGGTTCACGCCTGTAAACGTAGCACTTTGGGAGGCTGAGACGGGCAGACTGCCTGAGAGCTCAGGAGTTTGAGACTAGCCTGGGCAACATGGCAAAACTCCACCTCTACTAAAATACAAAAAATCAGCCAGGCATGGTGGCAGGCACCTGTAATCCCAGCTACTCAAGAGGCTGAGGTGCAAGAATTGCTTGAACC